GTGATTTTGAGATTATCCCTTGTCATGTATATCAGTACTTTATTCCTTTTTATGGTCAAATTGTATTCCATTGTATGAATAGACCATACTTTGTTTATCCCTTCATCTATTGAGGAACATTTGAGTTTTTTTTCACCTTTTTCTATTATGAACAATGCTGTTAAGGATATTTGTATACAAATTTTTGTGTGGAGGCATGTTTTCATTTCACTTGGGTATATACCTAGGAGTGGAATTGCTGGGTCATATGATAACTGTGTTTACCCATTTGAAGAACTGCCAGACTGTTCTCCACATCGCTGCACCGTTTTACATTCCCAGGTACAATGCATGAGGATTCCAATTTCTGTACATCCTGACAACACTTGATATTTTCCATTTTTTAAATAATGAAGCCTAATTGTTCTCAGTGTTGTCTGAAGTTGTGTTTTTATTATTTACAGGAAAATGTTTTTCAGTAAAGCTGTCAAAATATAAGGGATCCAAATAAACATAAAAGGCACCCCTGGGTAAGGACTGGCTTATATTATTAATGGAATTCCTAGGAAATTTATATCCAGTGCCTGTTAAATAATGGCATTCCTCTGAAATATACCAGTGTCAGTTTTCACCAAAGAACCCAGGGTTCTCTCTGGCTGGGCACGTGATCTGCATGACAACTTTTGTGCAGAAATATGAGTGAGAAAGTGATTGGATTTCAGTGACAAGGAGCAGTGATGCCCTGAAAACCTTCAGAGAAGCAGGAAGGAGACTGAGTAGAAAGGGAACCTATAAAATCAGGAATGAGACTGAGTAGAAAGGGAACCTATAAAATTAGGTGCCATTCTGAGTCTCAAGGTGTATGTTTTCATGGTGGCTTTTTTTGGTATGGAGACTACATGTCTCACTCTGAACAGTTCAAAATCAAAATAATGCTAGAGAAAAGATCCATGAGAATGAAGCTTAATTTTTAAATTTTTACCTGTTGATAAAGACAACCACAAGTGAGAACAAAATGATTTGTTAGTGGTTGGGGCATGAGGTTCCAAGAGATCTTCATCCTACTTTATACATGCCTGTGGTATTTGCATCTTCACGATGTTCTTGTATTACTTATATAATTACATAACACAAAACCATCCACAAAGAGAACTCAAATTAAGTAAAAAACAAGCAAACAAAACCCATGACGAATGCTGTCCACCTGTCAGTCCTGATAGCCCCTGTGGGATGGGCAGTGAGGAGCAGCCACAACCCCACCCCAGATGTTGCCGGCAGGCTCTCATCCCTGGGCAGTATGTGATAGCAACATGTAAAGCAGTCAAGCAAGCACGCATATTATAAAGTCTTGTAAAGATTTTTATAATAATAATTAGCCTGGAAGTAATTCCAGTAGTTGAGGAGAGGTTGGAAAAGGTGGTGGTTATTATACACTGGCACGTTTGTGGCCATTGAAGATGAGAAATGGGGACAGCATCAGAACCCGGAGGAGTGTAGGTTACCACAGGTAGTATAGGACTTCAGACAGCATGGGCCGTCACGACGAAGAGTGGGAGGGATTTTAAATAATGTAAAGAGTTGATATTTTAGGGTAGACAAGTTTCAGTCGTCATGTAAAAATGTATACTTTTTTTTTATTTTGAAAGTTTTAAACCCTGAGTTAGTGACAATAGTTTGATAACCCTATACCCCTGTCTCTGAGATTTCACAACTATCACCTTTGCACCTTGGTTCCATCTACTGTCCCCACCACTTACATTGTCACTTATGTATTTCAAGACAAGCCCTAGCCTCATGTCTGTTCACTCCTACATACTTCAGAAGGCATCGCTATAAAAATATGGGCATTCATTTTATACCAGAATACCCTTTTCACACCTGAGAAAATTTGCAATAAGTTGGTATAAACTAGTACGTGATCCATTGAAGCTTTCCCCAATTGCCTCAGCATTTTTGCTGGTTGTCTTGTCTGAACCAGGATTAAGACCCAGCCCCCACAAACGTGTTGTCAGGTCTCTAGATCTCTGCCCGTCTAGGACTCTCTCCCCCATTTGTCCCATCAGATGTTCTATGTTTGGACTCATCTCATTGTGCAGACAAGTCAGACTTGCTCTCTGTCCCTGTATTTCTTGCAAACTAAATGCTTGATTACATTTGGGTGTGAGTTCTGGGGACAAGAAAGTCTCACAGGTGATGCCCTGAACCTCATGCTGCCTCACAGCACGTGTGGGGAAAGTGTGGCATTTCCAAGAGCTCCCACTCAGGGTTGGCGTGTCCTAGGACCTGGGTGGTAGTTCTCTCAGTGTGGCCACACAGCCTCAGGCCCTGCAGGCACCTTGAACAGTGTCTGGCCTGTGCAGCCAAGCAGGCACCCTGGCCACTCTCTCAGTGCTGGTCCTTGGGCCTCGCCTGGGCAGGCACCACCTTGCGTGTCTGGGAATGTGGGACAAACAGGCCCTGAGCCCCTGACAGCACTGTCCTGCCCCAGCCAGTGGGTCTTCTAGCGGAGTCATGTTCTCGGGTGGGACTTGCTTACTCTTCAAGGGAATGACCATGTGCTCAAGATCATTCTCCTTTGCTCTGGGAGTATTTCCACACAGATTCTTCTGGAAGGGTTTTGAGGCAATTGTATATACTCTAAGCCAGTGGTTCTCCACCTTCCTAATGCCGTGACCCTTTAATACAGTTCCTCATGTTGTGGTGACCCCCAACCATAAAATTATTTTCATTGCTACTTCATCACTGTACTTTTGCTACTGTTATGAATCATAATGTAGATATCTGATATGCAGGATGTATTTTCATTGTTACAAATTGGACATAATTAAAGCATAGTGATTAATGACAAAAACAATATGTAATTATATATGTGTTTTCCGATGGTCTTAGGCAACCCCCGTGAAAGGGTCGTTCGACCGCCAAAGGGGTCTCGACCCACAGGTTGAGAACCGCTGCTCTAAACCCTGCAGTTTCGTAATCTTGCAGGGGACACTGTTGAGGGGATGCCCTTGACACGAAGGGACAGGGCTGCTGCCAGTGGTGGGCATAGCATGGGAACAACCTTTGGTTCTCTCCCCAGCGCAGATATGCTGCCAGGTGTGAGTTCTGTTTGTGAGCATGAGATCTGCTAGTTTAGAAAATCTCTCCCAGCTCCAGGGATGAAGGTGTTTACTGTGGGCAGGGCGCTCTCTGGCAGATAAACGAGAGGGAGGCAGCACCAGGGTTCTAATCAGCAGCACCATTCTCCCTCTTCCTTTCCTCACCTCCGCCCCATAGGATGACTCAGCTGCCCCGTGGGCCTCCTGAAGCACTGAGTCATGGCTGGCCAGTTATCTGCTCCAAGGAGCATCTTCACAGACCCACAGCCACCTGCTCCACCCTTGGCCTGGCCCGACTGCAGCCCCTGATAGTTTCTAGAGTTGACACAGGGGATGGGAGTGGCTGGAGCCAGCTGGCTTCTCCTGTTAGCCAAGGTCATGTCTGCTAGAAGGAGCCACTTAACCTTGAGGATAGAAAATGTTCAGTGAACAGTTAGCCTGTTGCTTCTGTTTATTATACTCTGTGTCCCTATAAGAGGGGCTGTGTGACTAAATTCTACCATAGCCAGTTGGTCCACCAACAGTCAGCAGTACACTGGTGACTGCAAACACTGCCAGGGATTTTGCTGTGGGTAGTCTCTGTTTTGAGCACACATTTCTGACTAATTGGCGATGGGGGTGCCACTGTTGTCCTTTCTTCGATGGGAGCCCTGTGACCCAGGGTCACACAGCAGGTGGTTGGACAGATCTGTACCTTCCATTATCCCACTGGCTGCCTCTGCCAGGCCCAGAGTGGATGCCTAATCTGTGCCCTACCTCCCTGGATGGCCCTGGTGCCCTGCAGTGTGGGAGCCTTTCTCTACTTCAGTGGTTCTCAACCTGTGGGTCGAGACCCCTTTGGTGGTGGAACGACCCTTTCACAGGGGTCACCTAAGACTATCCTGCATATCAGATATTTACATTACGATTCATAACAGTAGCAACATTACAGTTATGAAGTAGCAACGAAAATAATTTTATGGTTGGGTCACAACATGAGGAACTGTATTTGAATAAGTCTAGACCTGTTTGGGATCATCCTTGCTACCATCTACTTCAGTGGTTCTCAACCTGTGGGTCGAGACCCCTTTGGTGGTGGAACGACCCTTTCACAGGGGTCACCTAAGACTATCCTGCATATCAGATATTTACATTACGATTCATAACAGTAGCAACATTACAGTTATGAAGTAGCAACGAAAATAATTTTATGGTTGGGTCACAACATGAGGAACTGTATTTAAAGGGCCAGAAGGTTGAGAACTACTGCTCTACTTGTTAGAAATGCTTGGTTTCCTACCCCCCACACTGGGTGACCCCACGGAGCCATCTCTGTGCTGTCATCCGGCAGCTATCCCCAAGATAGGATGCTGAGCGGACTGGCGTGTATGGACAGCTCCTAGAGGGGACACAGGAAATGGGTGATGGTGGCACCTGGAGAGGAGCCTGGGGGAAAGGAGTAGAGGATTCTGTCATGGTTTCAGTGTTTGCTTTGTATGTGTATTATTGGAGTACATGTGCTGCATTTGAGTCAAGCTTGGCTTCTCCCACAGGCCAACGCGGATCCCTCGGTGATCAACTGCCTGCACAACCTTTCCCGACGAATCGCCACCGTGCTGCAGCACGAGGAGCGCCGCTGCCAGTACCTCACTCGGGAGGCCAAGCTGATCCTCGCGCTGCAGGACGAGGTGTCTGCTGTCGCCGACGGTGAGTGCGGCAGGTGTCTCTCCTCCCCAAAGCACAGAGCAGGCAGTGTTTCCAGGCAGGACACGGAAGCCACGGTGCTCAGAGTTCCATGCTCCTCCGCCCGGACTGAGCAGGCCCCAGTGCAGAGGGAGACTCCCCGGGGCACAGCTAGAGACCCCTTTCCCGCCTGATGTGCTAACACTGATTCCTTAGCCTGAAGCATTTCCTCCCCACAAATGCGCATGGTGGCTCTTCACGCAGGTCAGGCACTGCCCGCCGGCCCTGTGCTGCTGGCCCTGCGTCCCGGCTGGAGGACCTGTGGAGGGGCCGGGGGAGTGGTGAGCTGGCAGGGTGGGTGCTTTTCAGTTCTTTGCTTTCAACTAAATTGAAGGAGGACCTAATGGAGTTATCAACTGGAAAGTTATTAAAAATAATTTGGGTAATGTGTTTTTATTGATTTCAGAAAGGAAGGGAGAGGGAGAGGGAGAGAGAGAAAGAAACATCAATGTTCCTATACACCCCACACTGGGAATTGAGCCTGCAACCTGGGCATGTGCCTTGACTGGGAACTGAACCGTGACCTCGTGGTTCATAGATCAACTCTCAACCACTGAGCCACACCGGCCGGGCTATTAGAAATAGATACATTACCATGTGGTGTTTGGCATACCGTCAACACTGGAAAGTGTGGAGAGACTCCTACCTGTCACAGACCCACCTCCACCCTCTTGGCTCAGTGCCTTTGTAAGAGCACAGTGAAGGTGCGCCCCGTCTGACTGTAGCAGCAGGTAGAGCAGCGGGCACCATGCACGAACTATCCCGCGCAGGTGCGTTCTCAGTAAAAACTTACTTTTTATGTTTGACAACGAAGTTTTATTTCTTAAAACATTTTCTTTAGAGTCTGTGACTTTGTTACAGGAATTTTAAAAGTTCAATTTAGTACAAATAGTTTTGTTAGATATTTATGAGACAGGATTAATGAAAAAGACTTTCAGTCAGAAAAAGAAATTATATTAGCATAAATGTGGGGGAAAGAATGGGATGAGGCCTGGAACTACATGGTCACTGAGGCAGAAGATGGCACTGGCGGTCCGAGGTAGTCTTCAGGAGCGTCAGGAAAAGCGTCAGGTGGGGCCAGTGCTGAAGTTTAAATACAAATATTTCATATAAAGACAGTTGAAGAAATCAGCCTGAGTATAATTCTAATTCAGCTGGATGCCAAGATTTTATGAGAAGCAGTTGTGAGCCCTGGCCGATGTGGCTCAGTTGTTTGGGCGTCACCCTGTGCACTGAGAGGTTGCCAGTTCGATTCCTAGTTGGCACGTGCCCGGTTACAGGCTTTATCCCTGGTAGGGGACGTACAGGAGGCAGCCAATCCATGTTGTGCTCTCACGTTGATGTTTCTCCCTCTCTCTTCTTCTCCCTTCCTCTTTCTCTAAAAATCAATAAACTATTAAAAAAAGAAGAAACAGCCTGGCCGGCATGGCTCAGTGGTCAAGCATTGACCTATGCACCAGGTCGTGGTTTGATTCTCCGTCAGGGCACGTGCTCAGGTTGTGGGTTTGATCCCCAGTGTGGAGTGTACAGGAGGCAGCTGACCAATGATTCTCATCGTTGATGTTTCTATCTCTCTCCCCTTCTCTGAAATCAATAAAAATATATTTAAAAAGGAAGAGGAAGAAGCAGTTATGAATAGCCTGATGATTGGTTTAAAGTTACTGACAATTCTTTTTAAGTTGTTTTTAAAGGTATTTTAACTTGTTTTTAAAGGTATTTTCTATTCTAGCCTTTTGTGTCAAACATCAGTTGTTAGCACACCCAATGTGGGTGTGCCCCCTCCCCCCACCCTCCCTACAGCTGCTTTGGAGATTTTAAGTCCTTCTGTGTCTCAATTCTTGCAGCAAATGATGGTCCGCAGTCTCCGTTCCATCACATACTGCCCAAGTGCAAGCTGGCCAGGGACCTCAAGGAAGCTTACGACAGGTAGGACAGGCGAGCGGCACACCATGCACTCCCTTCTCGTGGGCCTTACTGCCTGAGCAGTGTCTGATAATGGGACTCCCTCTGCTGGGTGCTGTTCTCCCGTTGTGCCACTGAAATGGGGGTGAGAGGGCAGGAAGTGCCAACCCCTTTGGTGTGCGCCCAGCTGGAACAGTCACCTCCATACTTAACCAAAAGTGAGCCTGAAGTTACGCATGAGAGCCTGAAAGTGCATTTGAGTCCTCAAATGCAAGGTGATTTTACTGAGCCTGGCACAGCGCCAAGTTCTGGGTCCACCTTCATTAGGTGTGTGTCGCTGTCACCTTTCACCATGAGGAAACAGGCTCAGGGGATGGAGAGGGGTTGGCCCTGCCCTGGGGAACTGGGGGCCTGGGACAGTCAGTGTATGAGTGCAGCAGGTGTTGGAGACACAGCGGAAACCTCACAGTTGTTCGGATTATATTTGTGGCTCAGCACCTACTCTCTTAAACATGGATAAGCAAAGAACTTATTTTCTTTTTTAAGGGTGTCCTGTGGCTCTGGCGCTGGGCCTGCAGTGGGGGATGGAGGTTTGGTGGGGGCGAGTGCCCAAGGGACAGCCCACCTGGCAGTTTTGCCTTCCCTGTCCTGCACCGGCCGGTTGGTTCACAGGGTACCACCCGGCACCAGGCAGCAGCATGTGGGTGCAGCCTTCTTCGGTGCCTCTTTCTGCCCTCTCTTCCTCCCTCATTCCCTTACATTTCCACATTCTCCTTGGCGAGTGCGGCAGCTCAGCGCTCCCACCTGGCCTTCCCAGGCTGCACTCCATTCCACTGGACTCTCCTCCCACTGGAGAGGGTCCTGATGTAAGAACTGTGGCCGCAACACCACGTGTCATCGAAGCCCAGAGACAGCGGTTTGTCCAGGATCCTTTCCCTTTTTCATGTTAATTTATTCTGTTTTTACTAACATTAAAGACATTTAGGAAATACAGAAAAGTATAATTTTATACACAGTGATAATCACTATGAACATTTTGGTAATTTTTTTAAACTTGATTTTTTGAAAGGTCACATATTCATCAAGACTGAAATTTAGAGCTTTGATTTTCTCCTGCTGCACTCCCACCAGCTTCTCATCCTGGCGGCAGGATGCATTTCAGCGACAGCCTTCCTCACAGATGGGTTTACCATAAGGTGCATACAGGCAAATAGTGATCCACTGTCTCCCTTCCCATACCGGTAGCACACTGGGCATCCAGTTAGCCTGTTGCCTTCTCAGATAGCAGTATAACTTAGACTTCTGCCTGGGCTGATGAATAAGAACTTTTGGTTTTTTTGCTGCATAGTTAGCCAGCCCCCTCCCTTGGGCGTTTATTTGGCTTCACGTTTTGCTGCTGTAAGACATGCTGCCCAACCACATGCATGTGTTATTGTGCATCTGTACCCACACATCCATAACATAAATTCCTGAAAGTGGGGTTGCTAGGGCACCTAGGTAAAATGCATTTCCTCTGTGGAGTATGTGCCTCGATCTGCACTCCCACCAGAAGCCCGTGAGATACCTGTCAGCACAGCGTCTTGGTGAGCCGCTTGGTCTTAACCAATGTAAGGGTAGAGCATAGTGTCTCAGTGCAGCTTGTGCGCGTCTCACGTGTTTACCCCATCCCTGTTCTCTTTTCTGGTAGCTCTCTGCGCAGACCCCTGCTTGTTCTGTTGGGAGGTGTAGGTGCCTTTTAAAGGAGGGGGAGTTGCCCTTTGTGAGGGCAGCTTGTGCTCCCCTTGTCTTTGTTTTGGTGACCCCTGGGTGTGGCTTCTGGCTGTTGGAGAACATCAGGGCAGCCTGAACTGCCCTTGCTGAGTGAGGGTTTTGGTTTCTGATCCCTCCTACTTCCGAGAACTTGACCCAGAATGGGGTTTTTGGTCTTGCAGTCCGACCCTGTCTTTGTATTCCACATGATCGCATTGGAGTTTTCCCTGTGGTAAAAGAATTGTCGTCCTCTGGTCTTGGATTGATTGGTATCAAAATCCCTTTCTAGGCCCTGCCAGTGTGGCTCAGCTGGTTGAGTGTTGTCCCATGCAACCGATTGGTGTTTCTCTCACATTGATGTTTCTCCCTTTCCCTCTCCCTTCCTCTCTCTTTCTCTAAATTAAAATTTTAAAAAACAGTTTAAAAAGTCCCTTCCTTGGAAACTGCTATTGCTTTACTCGGAGTGGGAATTTGCATGCCTCAACTCGGATTATGCTTGATATTAGCCAAAAGGCCAAGAAGTGATCTCAACTAGGGTTAGACTACAGCAAAATTCAGGCTAACCTGGAATTAAAATGAAAAGCAAACAGGAGAAGACTTTATATTCGTGAAGAAAGAAGGGACTGTGATTTCTTATATTTGAACTACACCGGAAAGTTCATCCCTCCAGCTTTCCGGCTGGAGGGATGAGATCCTGGATTGTGTCAGGGCCTGAGGCAGCCAGTGCCCCCTAGTGGGCATCAGTTTGAAAGAGGACAGGAATTGGTTTTTGGCAAAAACAGCTCTCAGAATCCACTGTCCAGCACTTAGCTTCCCTCCTTTAACCCAGGCATCTGTTGTTAGAGCCCAGGATCGAATTTCCTCCAGGCGAACCCTGCAGCCCACCCACTCTGACCTGTCCTGGTCCCAGCCCCGCCCCCAGGAGAGCCAGGGGCAGTTGTGTCCACCCTTGTACCTGTCCCAACCTGGCAACAGCAATGGCCCCCAGGAGCCTCCCTGGCCTGTGGCCTTCCAGGTCCATGTTGGCCCTGAGGGTCTGGCCTGGCCTGCCCTCACTCCTGCAGAATGGACTGCACCTTGGAGCTAAGAAAGGGAGCCTGGGTTTCTGTTACTGGTCCGGGAACATAACACAGATAGCAACTTCCTGACAGATCCCTGGGGAAGGGTTTCTCAGAGCAGAAATGAGAGACAGGAAGCTGTGAGACTTAGTAGTGTTGGAGATTTGGATGGGACTTTTCAAGGGAATTGCTCTGAGTTTGGTGTTTTAATTAAAATCCAGGGACCCAGCCATAGCAGCTCAGTGGTTGAGCATCAACCTATGAACCAGGAGGTCACGGTTCGATTCCTGGTCAGGTCACATGGTTGCAGGCTCGATCCCCAGTAGAGGTGTGCAGAAGGCAGCCCATCAGTGATTCTCTCTCATCATTGATGTTTCTATTTCTCTCTCCCTCTCCTTCCCTCTCTGAAATCAATAAAAATATATTTTAAAATAATAATAAAATCCGGGGGTATGGTGTGGCTGAGCAGCCTGATGGCCCCTTGCCCAAGGACCTGAGTGTCTGTGAATGTAGGCTGGCAGTGTGAATCCCTCCAGAGGCCCAACTATTCTAGCGCCTGTGTCTTCCTGTGGAACTTGGTGACCTCAGTGATAGCATCCCATTCATTTGTGTGACCGTCAGGTTGTGTCTTCCACGAGGTCAGGGACATCCCTTCACTTTTCCTGACGCAGCCCTGTGCTTGGCGTGTGGAGAAGCACAGCTCACCCACTAGTAGTTGAAAGGACCAGTAATAGGGGTCACGTCTCTGTGGATTCCACGGACTTGAAGTGTTTGCCTGACTGGTTCTCCATCGTTAACTGGGGTGGCATTCAGGGCCTGTGGTGGGGTCTGCGAGGCTGGGGACTCTGCCTGCTCCTCTGCCTCACACTGCTGCCTGTCCGGAGCAGATATGGGCCCACAGACACCTCCACGAACATCCTGGGAGTTTTAGTTCCTATTTCCATGAAGTGGACCTGCATAGAAACTTCTGTTTGCGATTTCAAGGTAGGCCTTTTGGAGCCCACCCCGACCTCTTGGATCAGGTGCAGGGTCCCACTGCAAGGGAAGCCCGGCTGCGTGAGACAAAGGGACCAGAAGGTCAGGGCTAGCTTCGAAGGTCTCTGGCCTGGGGCAGGAAGAAGGGTGACCGAAGGATGAGTCAGTTGTTAGCCAGAGGTTAGGAACTGAAAGTCTCTCAGATGCTGAGATCTGAGGGTAATGGACTAAGCTGGTACACATTTCTGTCTGGGGGGTGACAGATAAGCATATTTTGGGCTGGAGTGTGGCCTCATGCACAGTCATCGCTTCAGGGCCGGGCTCTGGCAGGAGCAGGCGTGTATCTCGCGTCGCAGACAGGGCTTGGCTCGCCCTCTGGCCCAGCGCTGTGTGAGGCTGGATAAGCCTCACGTGGGCAGCGTTTTCCTACAGTAATTCCAGGTCAAACGGCTAGCTGCCCTACAAAGGGAAGTGCAAGCTTAGGAGGGACTTCTAGGGCCAAAGCCCCACTCTGCTGGTCATGTCTTAAAGCTGTATTTTACAGACAAAATAAAACTGTGCTTTACAAACAGGCACAGACCTTTTCCTCCTCCTGACAGATGTCAGTGCACCTCCGGCTCACCTCTGGGTGTGGGGGTGTCAGGCTCCTCTGGGAGCTTGAGGGCCACTCTCTCTTCTTGACTAGATCCAGGGTTTCCCAGGAACGCTAGGGTCTGAGCTGGCCCTCTGAGACGCTGCTGGGGTGGCACTCAGGGTCCCCACACTGTGTGTAGAGAGGCACCGCCATCGGTGCAGAGTGCTCCGGGGGAGGAGGTTGCTGGCAGGTGAGCAAATGCTTGGAAAAGTGTAGGAACATCCTCATGGAAACCAGGAAATCAATGTGGGTGTGCACCCCTCCCCCAAAAAAGGACCTCATGTCACTGTACACCAGACGGTGTGGCCTGGGATGGCTGACATGTGGAGTTGCTCTATGGGCCTAATTCATCCCCTCGCACCCAAACCAGGCACTTGTTGTCTCTCCCTGAGGTTTGTTCCAAGCCCCAAACACCAGTTCTCTGCACACCCCTGCGCCCTCCTCTGCTGTTCCCTTTCCCACAGCTCTCTCCAGCTTCCCATGTGCCATACAGTTTGCTTCCCCGACGCCACTGAGGCAGAGCCCCCCCAAATGTAAGGCTGTGAGTTTTACCCCAGGAGCCTGAACCAGTGCTTGGAGCCTCAGCACATGTCAGGCCGTTGGCAGTTTGCACGTGGCATCACTGGGCACCTGGGTGGATCAAAACCAGCTACTTTCACAATGATAGGAATCTGTCTAAATCTGATTCTGGGGTGTTTGAACAGCTGCTCTGAGCCATGTGCTGAAGAGGACAACTCAAAACTAGAAAGACCTTTATTTTCAGTCAGCCAGCCTGAAGCAGGAGCCTGGCTATTTCACTGTCCCTGCAGCCCCTGGTTTTCCTCGCTGCTCTGTTTTGTATGTGATGCTGAGAGCATACATATTGCTCATTGAGTCAAGTGGAGCAACTAACCTGGGCCCCCTGGGCAACTCTCTCATGGTGTGACCTTTGATTCCTTAAGAGGCTGGGCTGTGTCAGGGTTTGATGTCCAGCCAGCAAGACCTTCGGCCAAGGAAGGGCATGACGATGGGAGCCTTCGTCTGCTGAGGTGTACTGCGTAGCACTCAGTTCTAGAAGAAGCCAAGTGTGGGATCTTCCCCTGGGGCCTTGGGGAAAGACCCTGCGTCTCTTCCCCAAATCGTCACACATCAGGTCTGTTCATAGGTTTCACGCTGTGGGGCTGGGGCACCAGCAGCGACCAAACCTTGGTCTTCCAGACTCAGCCACAGCCTGCAGCCCCCCAGCCTCTGCAGCCAGGGGTGCTGCTTGGGGCATTGAGATCCTGGGAGAGGGCATGGTGTTCCCCATGCCCGAGGCAGGGCAGGCAGAGTGTCTGGGAGCTGTGGGGCAGTTTGCAGGGAGCAAATGGTTGGTGCTGGCAGAAATCCTAGGGGTAGTTGAGGGTGATAATGTGCTCTGTGTTCTTCCCACTGTGTTCTCTCCCCATTCCCTGCTTGAGAGAATACAGGCTTATTTTTGCATTTGAAACTGCTGACCACAGAGTTCAGCCAGCCCTCCGGCAGACCTGTCGGGGGAGCTTGGGGTTGTGGTCTGCTGCTTGAGGCTTCAGGGAAGAGACTGTGAGAACAGCGGTGGGTGTGGGGGGTGAGGGCCATGGAGCTGCTTCCCAGCATGGTGTACCTGAATGCCCCCAAGAGAGGTCTGGGACCTGGGTGAAGTGGCAGCTCCCACCAAACCTCCCCCAGCCACTGGCCTGCCCCACACTTTCTGGAGGCGGGCATCTTGGTCTGTCCATCCAGCTGGGAATAGCATTTCAGGGTCGGAATGTGATGGGAAGAGCACCGCCTAGCCCAGCTGGGTCCGGGCAGGTCAGGCCTTCACCGTGGGCACGGGCCCCTCTCATCACCTGCTGCGGGACAGCGAGGATCAGCCGTGGGGACTTGGCTCAAGCAGTTGCTTCTCTTTTGTGTCAGACACCACGGGCTTTCAGTGCAGGGGCTGAGCAGCCAGGTTGTGGGTGGAGGTCAGGCTGGCTTCCCTGCCAGGAAGTTTCAGAAGCTCCTGCTGGAAACAGCCCCTTGGTACCTGGTTCCCCAGCCGCCAGGAGCCCGTTCTCTGGGCGAGGGCTGCCTGAGAGAGTCCACCAGCGCAGGAAGCGCATCCCTCCCGCCCTCTCCTTCCTTCATTGATGAGGTGCTTCTCAGTGCCCCCAAGTATCCCACACGGAGTCAGCCATGCTGAGAGCAGTGAACAAAACGCAAGGCCCCACCTCAGGACTGCATTCTGGTGGAGGAAACAGCTTAACCAGCGGACAAGTAGGCGTGTCCTGGGGTCAGGTGCTCAGGGCAGGTGAGCAGTGAGCAGTCAGATTGCCCGGGGGGCTGCGGCTCACTGAGAAAGTGGCACTTGAGTTGAAAGCTGAAGGAGGGAAGGAGCTCCTGGCACCTGGACAAGTCTATAGTCGAGGACAAGTACACGGGCCCTAAAACAGCAGGGAGGCTGGTGTAGCTGCGCCTGCCTGGGGTGGGAGACACGGTCAGAGAACGGGGGCACATCACTCAAGGCTCCCGGCATTTGGGGTCTTGGCTGGAACTGCCGAGGTGGACGCCATGGGGGCTGTGGGGGAGGGCGGGCACGGGGCCAGTGCTGAGAAGGACTGTGCTTTGTAGGGCCCTGCAGGTGGTGAGACATGTTTGCTAACGGTGTGAGGCAGGCGGTGAGAGAAGCGAGGAGGCAGGGACAGAGTTGCTGTGTTTGGTCTGAGCGAGGATTGGCCTGAAAGAACCAAATTGCCATCAGTGAGGCTGGTTTCGACAGCTGCTGTGGTGCACCTGGGGCGCTGCTGGCATCTGCAGGGAGGTGGGCACTATGTGCTCCTCCCCCCCAGATGTCCTATGGGACTTGGCACCCCCACCCTTCCTGTGCTGCCCACGGCTCCTTTTGGGAGACAGGCCTTGCCCTGCCTGCCACCTGTGATGTGGTGGGGCTCTCGTCAGGTGTGCAGGAGGAGGCATGAGAAAACACCCCTGCATCAGTTGCATTGAGCCTCTGAGAGAGAACAGGCTTCCCTGTGCCCTCGCACTCTGATTGGACTACGGAGTCCAGGGCTAGCCAGAAATACAACGTTTTCCTCTCTCCAACATGCTGAGTCTGGAAAGATGCTCTCTTGCCCTGGGGTCTCCACTTGTAGTTTCCTCCGACCAACAGGAGCAGTGTACTGGGAAGAAGTGCCCTCGGGCGGGGTGTTGTGTGATGTGTGTGTCTGGGTAGCAGTTGCTGTGTGCATGGGCGATGGCACCGACAGAAATGGAGCCTGCTGTCTGCAGCTTGTGTACGTCTGGCGTGGTGCGGCTGCACATCAACAGCTGGCTGGAGGTGAGCTTCTGCCTGCCCCACAAGATCCACTACGCTGCTGCGAGCCTCATCCCCCCTGAAGCCATCGAGCGGAGCCTGAAGGCCATTCGGTGAGTGCCAGCCCAGGCACACTCCCTGCGTGGCCCCTCTCTGCTGCCTGAGGTTGCACCAGTTACTTCGTTCCAAAAGTTCTCTTCTTCCTGCCTCAGAAATTGGCAGCTCAGGCTCTCCTGTTTATAGAAGTGAAAACACATGTTTTTGTGCCTGGTTTTGTATAGAAAGGACCAGCTCCAGGTTTTCCCTGGGCGTCTGGGCACTGCCTGGGTAGGTGGGGCTCCGTGCTGAGGTCCTCACCTGCGTCCTGAGTACTGAGCATCCTGGGGAACAGACGTACCATTGGGGGGATATTGTCGTCATGGTGTTGCTCATCGGTTCCTCTTACATTTGAATTTGAACTTGTGGGATCTCCTGTTTCTTAATTTAATAGATTTCCTGCAAGGAAAGAACTGAGCCCAATCTCCTTCTGTCCCAACCCCCAACCAAGTCCTCAGTTTCCTTAAATATTCTTTAACTAAAAAAAGAAATCTGGGCACATTGCAGAAAATGTGAAGGTGAAAGAAAGCAAAACACTGCCTCATGCTCTCTCCCTCCCCCAGTCTGTGCTCCAAGTTAATATCTTTCCTCCTGGTTTCCTTGCTAAGCATATTTTTATGTAGTTCTATTCATAGTCGCAGCAGCGATTTTACTTTTCCCATATTTGGGACTCTTTTCTTTAGGAAAGATTCATTTATTTTTTTCAATCACAAATGTTTGCAGGGCAATCCCAGAAGTGGGAGATGGAGTCTGGTTGTCAGACCTTCCTGTTTTTTTTTTTTTTTTAAATATGTTTTTATTGATTTCATAGAGAGAGGAAGGGAGAGGGAGAAACATCTACCTACCACCTCCTGCACGCCCTCTACTGGGGATTGAGCCCGCAACTGGGGCCTGTGCCCTGATTGGGAATCAAACCTGATTGGTGCATGGGGCGACACTCAATCAACTGAGCCACACTTGCTGGGCAGACCTTCAGTTTTGTTGTAATTTTTTCTTTCTTTCTGTGAGTGAGTGACAGCAATCCTTGCAGATGTTTAAAGGCCCTTGCACTTAGCACTGCCCTTGTCTCTAATTCCTCCTGTGGTCTCTCCTTTCTGAGGTGCAGTGCCTGGGGGCCCCAGCTGCACCTTTGTGTTCCAGGTGCACGCCTGGGGCAGGGGACCTGTGTCTCACATGTCCTGCTGACTGGACTCTGCTCCACAGCCCGTACCATGCCCTGCTGCTGCTCAGTGACGAGAAGTCCCTGCTGGGTGAGCTCCCACTCGACTGCTCCCCGGCCCTGGTGCGTGTGATCAAGACCACGTCTGCCGTGAAGAACCTGCAGCAGCTGGCCCAGGATGCAGACCTGGCCTTGCTGCAGGTATTGCCCTAGGGCCCTGGGGGAGACTGCCTGGGTAGGGAAGGACAGGTGGGAGAAGGGTCTGGGTACAGCAGAGCAGAGGGCCCTTGTTTGAAGGTGGGAGGGGCTGGGGTGTCAGGAAAGCAGGCTGCCTCCATCCAGATAAGAGCCAGTGACAGTGGCTCCGGGGTTGGCTGGAGGCTCTGAAATCTGAGTCAGGTCTGGATTCAGGGCTGACTTCCTCTTCCTTTGAGGGTGGTGAGGCCGCAGCAGAGAGAAGTGAGGCCCTGCGGTGCTGGGAAGGTGCCAGGACAGGGTGGCTTGTAGGGCTGGAGCAGAGGTACACAGCATGTGGCCACATGAGAAAGCAGTACTGCAACCTCAGAGTAGGGGAAGTGAGAGCAGGACACAGCATGGGCCTGCCCACATGCAGAGCCAGGACCTAACCGCATGGCTTGACCACTCCCCTGCAGGGTTGAACCTTGTGCTTGTGGGATGCCCTTTCTGATTGGATGGAGGCCCCCTCAGCCCTGGCGGTGGATCTGGGGTCGGGGCTTCCAAGGAAAAGCACAGGAAGGAATTGCAGGCCAAGGGCAGGGCCTCCTCTGGTTCCGGTAACTGTGAGCACCGTGTGGCCACCAGAGGGCAGCAGGGCCTGTCCCAGGGACGTGTAGTTCCTGCGATGGCCACTGGGTGGCAGTTCTCTCAGGCTGGGAGGAGCACAGGCAAGAGGCTGGCCCACCTGGGCCCCTGAGGGGAGCTTGTCCAACAAGGACCCGGACTGTTTTTCCCCAAAGCAGTCATTTTGGATTCGTTGTCCAGAACAAGCCTTCCGTCATCTGTACCCCACGGCCTCTGTCGGCCCCTGTGAGAATGTTTGTTGGGTTCTGCCTGGTGTTCACAGGGGCTCCACTGAGGACCACGTCCTGCGTGCCTTCAGAGCAGACACGGAACACAACCTTAAATGCGCTCACTGTTCTGTATGTGCTGCAGAGCTTGTGTTCTGACCAGTGCTGGCCAGTGGCAGATATCTGTGAGTCTTCGCAGCTCCCATTTCAAACTTCGAAAGGAGCTGGCCTCCTGTCCACTGAGGCTGCCCAACAGGAAGTCTGTCTGTACGCCGTGCCTCACGCTTGTTCTCAGTCTCTTTGGGCAGAGACAAAGCTTTGGTGATGTCTCCTTCGCTTCCCTGCCCCGGCCTTGCGTGGGGAGGAACTGCCGTTTCCTGGCTGGTGTGGTTGTCCAGAAGCTCCCCGAGGCCCAGCCCTGGGGGTGGACCTCACCAAGCTCTGGGAGTCCAGCTGCCACAGCAGGTGGCCCAGTGGAGCGTTAGGTGTGAATGTCACTCATCTACAAGTAAATGGGGTTGTTTCCCTCATGATAGAATTAATATGTCCTTTCTTACAAAAGTTCAAATAGGACACAGTTTACAGACCCAAGAAAGAGAAAGTCCGCACAATCCCATATCCCGCCCTCTACTGCTGTGGATTCCTCTGGGTTTTCCTCATAGGTTAACGCCGTGGTCGGCAAACTGTGGCTCGGCAAACTGTGGCTCGCAAGCCACATGCGGCTCTTTGGCCCCTTCAGTGTGGCTCTTCCACAAAGTACCACGTGCGGGCACACACATACAGTCCGATCGAAACTTCGTGGCCCATGCGCAGAAGTCAGTATTTTGTGGAAGAGCCACAGTCAAGGGGCCAAAGAGCCGCATGTGGCTCACGAGCCGCGGTTTGCCGACCACAGGGTTAACGCATTATCTTTGAATAACAAAATTTGGATCACACTGTACATTACTTGTGATTGTCTAAACTTCCCATAGACCTCCACCTCCTAACGCCCAGGACCTGTGTGGGACTTTGCAGGTTGATTAAGGATCGGGAGGAAGGGCAGGGGTCCCGTATTATCTGGGTGGGCCCAGTGTCATCACAAGGGCCCTTGTGAGAGGGAGGCAGAGGGAAATTTGACTTCAGAAGAGGAGGTGGGGATGTGACCGTGATGAGGCCACATGCCAAGGAATGCTGCGGCCAGCAGAGGCGAGAGCAGATTCTTCCCGAGAGTCAGAGGGGGCTGCCCTGCCAGCACCTGACTCCAGGCGTGTGCTAGTGGTGGTAGACTCCGGACTCCGGGGTGGTGCTCTGACTGTGGGGAGATGCGGGAGGTGGAGACCACTGGGTGGGGTGGTGGCCGAGATGGAGGAGAGTGGGTGTGTCCTTGCTTTAGAGTAAGAGTCAGTGGGGCTTGGGATGAGAGAAGAGGGTCAGTGATGGAACGGAAATGTCTGTTGTGTTCAAGCTGGTGGTGCCACTGGAGGTCCCATGTGCCGAAATGAGCTGGGTAGAGGTGTCCTTGGCATCGCAGGCATTGCATGCAGGCAGGGTGACTCGCCCGTGGAGGCGCTCAGTGATGGTAGAGGCAGCAGCCTGCCTGGGACAGTGCTCACCCAGGCTGATGTAGCATCAGATGTGCCCAGTGTCTGTCTTTCCACCAAGTGAGGCTGTGCCGTGTTCTCAGACCGGGCCTCCCTGTGAGGCTGGAGGGATTCCTGGCATCATGGTCTGTCTGTGGCCCATCCTCATGTCCAAGAGTCCAGGAGAGCAGGCAGTGGGATGTCCTCCAGGACGCTGAGCCACATGGGGATGAGTGCATGGGGTAGAGGGCATGTCTGGTGACCCCTCATCCATTGTCACGTGGAAACCCATCCCCTTGCTGGAGTCCTGGCGGGGGTGGGGAACCTGCCTCTGCCAGGGTGTCCAGCCAGGCCCCTTGCTCAGCTGAGCTTACCCCCTGATCCTGGGTGTCCCCGATGTCCCTCTGCGTGTAGGACCTTCCCTCAGGGCCAGCCAGGACAGTGCGGGGCCCTAAAAGGAAATGACAGTCCCAGACCGCACAGGGACCAGTGTCAAAAGGCTGTTGCTCTGAACATAGAAAACGCTGTGTGTGCTGCTGTGCCCAGCCCCCTGCGGGAGGTTGGGGGTCAGAGAGAAGCCCAGTGGGCCAGCCTCCCAGGCACTGTGCTGCCAGCCCCTCTGCCCGCAGGTTTTCCAGCTTGCAGCCCACCTGGTGTACTGGGGCAAGGCCATCATCATCTACCCGCTGTGTGAGAACAACGTCTACATGCTCTCTCCCAACGCCAGCGTGTGCCTGTGAGTACCTCTGGCTGCCAGGGCCCAGGGTTTGAATGGGAAGGGGGTGTGGCTGGCAGGCCCTTCCAGGGTGTCTCTCCAGGTCAGGCAGGACTTCCCTCGGGCCAGATGTCTGGCCTCTGCCGGGCCCAGGTTCTGATTCTGGCCTGGCCCAGCACCACATAGGCCTGTGTGCCCCTGGCACCTGCAGCCTTCACGAAGGGCCTGCGCCTGCCATGTCTACACCCAGTGAGCTCCGTATGGGGTGCCTGAGGGGTGGTCAGGAGCCTTGGCCTTCATTCCAGAGCTGAGAGGGGCAGTGGGGTGGCCTGTGCTCGGGCTTCTGCCACCCCTTGAAGGAAAGCAGCTGGGCTCTGTCCTCATTGTATCCACCCTGACCTCCCCACTCTGCCATTGTACCCATCCTAACCTCCCCACTGTGCCATTGTACCCACCCTCACCTCCCACTGTGCCATTGTACCCACCCTCACCTCCCCACTGTGCCATTGTGCCCACCCTCACCTCCCACTGTGCCATTGTGCCCACCCTCACCTCCCCACTGTGCCATTGCGCCCACCCTCACCTCCCCTCTGTGCCATTGTGCCCACCCTCACCTCCCACTGTGCCATTGTGCCCACCCTCACATTCCACTGTGCCATTGTGCCCACCCTCACCTCCCCACTGTGCCATTGCGCCCACCCTCACCTCCCCTCTGTGCCATTGTGCCCACCCTCACCTCCCACTGTGCCATTGTGCCCACCCTCACATTCCACTGTGCCATTGTGCCCACCCTCACCTCCCCACTGTGCCATTGCGCCCACCCTCACCTCCCCTCTGTGCCATTGTGCCCACCCTCACCTCCCACTGTGCCATTGTGCCCACCCTCACATTCCACTGTGCCATTGTGCCCACCCTCACCTCCCCACTGTGCCATTGCGCCCACCCTCACCTCCCCTCTGTGCCATTGTGCCCACCCTCACCTCCCACTGTGCCATTGTACCCACCCTCACCTCCCCTCTGTGCCATTGTGCCCACCCTCACCTCCCACTGTCCCATTGTGCCCACCCTCACCTCCCACTGTGCCATTGTGCCCACCCTCACCTCCCACTGTGCCATTGTACCCACCCTCACCCACCCACAGGCTCATGTCAAGGGCCCAAGTGCTGTGAATTATGATGGGAGGTCGCTGAGCTCAGGACACGCTTGTCTCACTGTCTCTAGGTACTCGCCACTGGCTGAGCAGTTCTCCCACCAGTTCCCGTCTCATGACCTGCCGTCTGTCCTTGCTAAGTTCTCCTTGCCCGTCTCCTTGTCAGAATTTAGGAACCCCCTGGCCCCCCCTGTGCAAGAGGTGAGTCACAGGAGCTGGGAGCCCAGGAACCACCCACCAGCATCGGTTCCTGGTTTCAGGGCCCGCAGTGTGCTGCCCCCTTAGCTGTGGGTCAGGGCATGGGAGGGGCCTTGCTGTGTAGGTGGTGCGTGTCCTACCCGGGTAACAAAAGGCTGGCTCCCCAGCCAGGCACCTGTAGCTGCCTCACCAGTGACCCAGCACTTAGGCAGTCACAACTCCCGCCCCCTTCCATGCCCCCACGGAGCCCACCCTGCTGCAGTGGGTTGTTGTTAGTGTTAAAACCCCAGTAAGAGGCCCAGCCAGGAGAGAGCTAATCCTTCCTGGGGGGACAGAGCCCCTGGTGCCCCTTTCTGTTCCTAGGTCCCACAGGTGGAAGCTGCTGAGGTGGTTTTGTTGTCACTGAGCCTGGGCCCGCCCTCCTTTTCCCTCCGTCGTGGTCCAGGTGGTCCCTGGGTCTAGGCTCACTGGTACCCGGAGTGGCATCCAGGACGACCTGGAGAGGAGAGGCCCAGGATAGAACCACCTGGTGGTCTGGGTCCGGGTCAGTGGTGGGTGCGGCCCTAGGAGGTGTGAGGCATGTGGAGTGAACGGAGGAGCTCCATCTATGTCTGGCCGGTTGAGTGTGGCCTGAATCTTCCTTCACTGAACACCTGGGGCTCTGGGCAGGGACCCAGGGCAGGGCCAGATGGGACAGGTGTCAGAGATGGGGCCAGGTGTTCTCAAAAATGAAGGATTTGCTTTAATAAGCAGCAGATCTGTTAGACAAAACCAGTTTTTAGAAGCAGGCCCTTCCCTTTGTGAAGTTGTGAATGAGAAGGCGATCCTGGCTCCTCAGTGCATTTAGATGCCGAGTGAGACAGGGCTCTAAATGCCGTCTTTCATGGAGCCTCTGGGCTCCAGGAGCTGTGCCAGGTCATGGCAGCTGAAAGAAAGACACATCTTGCATCTGCACCCTCCCCCTCTCCAGCAGAGACTTCCTGCTGGTCTGGAAAGTGGGTGGATTTTTCAGGCCAGGCCTGCGGGGCAGCCTCATGCCTTGTCATGGAGCCCAGATAGAGCTGGGTGTGGGGTAAGGCTGCCTGCCTCTCACCCCTCCAGCTTTAAGCCTGGGACGTGCTCTTCAGTGCTTTAGAGTCTCTGTTTTATTAATTTAATTTCAAATTTAGTTTACAATTCTTTTCAGTTTTATTTGGTTTTACCAGGTCATTCACGCCCATGGTACACCCCTATTTCCATGCCTGGTCAGCCAGCCCCTCCCAGGAGGGGACCCCCAAAGATGAGCAGTTGGAGTGTGTCTGAGAACATGGACACCATCTGGGCGCATTTCCTTGCTCTCCTGTGCTGGAGCTCTGCCCTCACAGGGCTCCTCATGCTCCTACGTAGGTGCTAGCCTGTGGGAGGCGGGTGGATGCCGCGCCCTGGGCACCGTAGGCTCAGCATAGGTCCCTGTCCCTGGGGAGGCTTTTGGGTGGAGCTGAGGAGAGGACTTCCTGCTCTCAGGGCAGCTTCCTACAGCTTCTCTCTGCAGTGTCACAGGGAAGGGGTCCCACAGGCCCAGCTCTGTGTGGTGGGTTTGCGTGGCAGGGCCCAGTGGCCTGGAGGAGACAGGGTAGCAGAGGGGTAGCTCTGAGCTGGGAGGGCACATGGGCCTCCATGTCACAGGCCCTGCTCCTCAGCTCTGGGCAAGAAAGGCCTGACACTAGGCCAGCCCAGGTGTGTGGTGGGAACAAGTGCAAATATGGCCTCGCTGCTCTCTTAGCCTCGCTGCCTCCCCTGGGTTAGCTAAGAGCTCCTTCCTGAGGGCCCCTGGAGCTTATGCACCCCTGATCTCCAGGGTGACTTGTGGGGTCGTGTCTTAGGCCTTAGCTCCCCAATCCGATCAGGAAGGGACCAGGGTGGTGGTGGGGGTCAGCTTCCCCCAGTGCCCCAGTCCTCACACTGCTGTCCCGCAGACCCAGCTCATTCAGATGGTGGTGTGGATGCTGCAGCACAGGCTCCTGGTCCAGCTGCACACCTACGTGTGCCTGATGGCCTCACCCAGCAAGGACGAGCCCCGCCTGCGCGAGGATGAGGGCTCCTTCACTACCAGGGTCAGCGGCCGCAGCCTCAGCACACCCAATGCCCTCAGCTTTGGCTCCCCAAGTAGGAATCCTTCCCCGGGCATCAATGTGGTGGTGGTGGTGGGGGGGGGCGTGTCGAGCACCTGGGGAACACTTGGGAGTGGTGGCCAAGAGGTACATCAGGGGCGCTGCTGGGAATGGCCGAGGGACTTCACGTGGCCACCCATGCACACACTGCCTCTCATGCGGGCGGCTGGGTCCTCCCTCACACAGCCTTCCTAGAGGAGGGCAGGAGATCCGTCTCCCCGCTTTCCTGCACCTCGGGCTCTGAGGAGGCTGTATCTTTGGGCTCTTGAGCAGGGCTTGCTCAAGCCAGGAGTAGCCTGCCCCCGGCCTGCCATGCCACCCTCACTGGGAGGACAATTGAAACCTCTGCCCCAGGGCCTATGAGAGACAGTGACTGCCATGGTCACTGTCTCTTCTTGAAAGAGCCGTGTGGCCATGGTGCACCCCCAAAGGCAGCAGCCATCGCCAAGCCCAAGTCCCTGGGCTTGGGTAAGAAGAGGGGCTGGAAGGCTTTGCGGGAGGGGCCTCCCCAGGCTGAGGCTTAGCCTCCGGCTTCAGGTTCAGGGTGAAGATCTGTCCAGCCCCTCATGCATGTTGGGTGGGAGGGAGGTCCTTGGGGGTGGACTGCTCTCTGACCCGTGCCCACCCGTAGCCAGCAGTGACGACATGACGCTCACCAGCCCCAGCATGGACAACTCCAGCGCAGAGCTTCTCCCCAGTGGAGACTCCCCGCTGAACAAGAGGATGACAGAGAACCTGCTGGCCAGCCTGTCCGAGCACGAGCGGGCAGCTATCCTCAGTGTGCCTGCAGCCCAGAACCCCGAGGACCTCCGCATGTTTGCCAGGTGGGAGCGGGCGACCCGTGGGGCTAGGCCCAAGTCTAGGGTCAGGACAGGAAGTGGGTGGGCTGTACCCAGCAACCCGCAATGTAAATCCGTTGACGACAAGTAGCACTCACCGGTTGAGGGGATGTTCATAGACTGGGGTGTCCCTGCCTGCTACCTGTGCACGCCAGGTGTGAGTTCAGTCTGCTGCCGAGACACCGTCTGTACCTCTGTCTTCAGGAGTCTCTCCAGGACTTCCTGGGGTTTGTCACTTCCTGGGAAGCAGCAGCAAGTTCTCATCCCCATGGGCTAGGCAGTGATTTTCCCCAGGACTTAGCCTCGGGGTGCGGGATCCAGATCCCCACGTCATAGGTGACATAGACCTGGTCACACCCACCCAGTCTGGGGCACTGTAGACGGTTTTCTGGAGGAGGTCAGACTGTCAGGGACTGAGCCCCCAGTGAAGAACCACATGCCGGCAGCTCTTTGAAGCAGCTGGTCCAGGCCTCTGTTCAGTCCCGGCTGAGACACCCCCTAGAGCAGTGACCCCATTTGGATCCAGAGCCACATGGGACTCGCTGCCACGTAGAATGAAAAAGAGAAGCCTTCCCAGACCTGTCCCCCTGCACTGCCCCACCCATGTCAGAATGCTGAGGGTGGGTGCGACCCTCGGGCTCAAGTGGGCCCTGGGGTTTGAACAGGAATGTGTTCTCACAGACCCACTTCAGAGAACCATGGTGGGCAACAGGCCCAGGACACTTGCCTGCTCCTGTTGGGGGTTGGGGGTGGGCACGGGCAGCTGCCTCCTGGGCCTCTGTGACGCCCTCACCAGCTCTGTTTTGGCCTGTGGGCCGCTCATTGGCTGTTGGAACAGAGGCTAGCCTGGGCTTGTGCCGCCCTCCCCTCCAGGCTGCTGCAGTACTTCCGTGGCCGCCACCACCTGGAGGAGATCATGTACAATGAGAACACCAGGCGCTCGCAGCTGCTCATGCTCTTCGACAAGTTCCGCAGCGTGCTGGTGGTGACCACCCACGAGGACCCAGTCATTGCCGTCTTCCAGGCCCTGCTGACGTGAGCCTGGGCCGAGGGGGCAGAGGCAGGCAGCTGCAGTGCATGGGGGCACCCGCATCTCCCCACCCCAGGGCTCCCTCCCGACCCGGCCTGAGTCCTTTTAGCCCTGAGACCCGACTTCACCTGCATCAACTGCCTCCTGGGGCTGCCACCCTCTGCATTCTCACCTGTCTAGTCCTCAGAACAGGTCCGGTGCCTGAGCTGAGAGGGTGAGGCTCTGAGCTGGGGAGCCGTCCAGGACTCATGCTCTGAGTGAGGCCTGCATGCTTCCCACAGATTTGGGCCACATGTTTCTCTGACCTCCCTCCCAATCCTGCCCGTGTTCCCTGGCCCCTTCCACTGCTGCCCTTCCAAGACGGAGGGCCCAGTGCCTGGCCTATCCTGAATGGACCCCCTGCACTGCCCCTTCCTCCCAGCTTGCTGTGGGCCTTCCTGGCCCGGCCCTCACCACAGGCACCAGGAGGCTCATGCCTTAGCCATCCGCTCCCCTTTGCCACCTGAGGCATGAGGGCCTGGGCTCGTCCACGATGCTTACTGGGCTCCCCGTTGGGGTGGCTGCACTGGTGTTCCCAGTCCTCCCTCACAAGGGTGGGGTGCAGTGGGCCTTCATCGGGCCTGAGGAAGGCAGTGCCCATGCTGGGCCTGGCTCGAGGTGCCCTGCTGCACACGTAGCCCCTGACAGCCACATCCTGGAGGAGGAACTGATCATTGAGGGGGCTCTGGCTGAGACACAAGTGACACGTTTTCTAGAAATAAAGAATTTATTTGGTTTTTAAACAATTAAAAAGCCTGTCCTTAGCAGGCCCTTGCTTAGACCTGTGTGTCCTGCTCAGCTCCTCTGTCCACCACACTGACCCAGGGGCTGCCCTGGACATAGAAGCGCAGGGGCTTCTGGGCCCACTCTCCTGCGTTGCCGATGCCCACTCGGGCTGCTGCCACCACCGCTGGCTCCCTGGGCCCCGGGGGGCTGTGCTCTAGCCACACAGCCTTGTCCGTGGTGAGGTCTCGTTGGTCGAAGCTCTTGTCGATGGCCAGGGCCTGACAGAGCTTGGAGGGGCCGCTGCAGAGCTCACGGTCTTTGAGGGCCCGGCCGGTACTGCCTTTCCGGGAGGTACTGCGAAGCTGCCGCATGGTCTCCAGGCCCCCGAGGGGCTCCAGTGCTCGCAGCAAGACACATGCTCCATCCCCTGTGGGACAGACAGACAGTGACTGGCCCTCCCTACCCAGGGCACCGCCAGTGCTGCAAGGATGATGCAGCTGCCTTCCTGAGCACTCCTGTACTCATTCGCAGTCCAGACCCACTTCCTACACACCTGCCCCCCCAGGGCCCAGGTGGGGCCTCCATGAAGCCAGAGGGCCTGACCGCCAGCTAGGGAGAACCAGCGAAAAGGCACGGCAAGTGCTCGCGGTGGCCTCCTCTTGGCTTCCTCTGGTTTGGCGACCAGCAGCAGCTTTGAGGCTGGCAAAGGAAACCCCAGATGGCCGGTCCTCCCTGGGCATGGTCATCTCTACCCAGGCCCAGGGTTCTCCCATCTGCCTCTACCCACTCAGTGTCTATTGGGCAAGCCAGAGGTTGTCTCTGTGCAGCTAGCAGTGTGCATAGGATGCCGGGCGAGCCTCACTCCATGACTCAGTGGGGAGACGACAGGGCAGAGGGAGGTGCCTGCTGATAGCACCCCTCCTTTGGGATCCTTTCTGGCCCCCCAGTCCAGGCTACTTCAGCAAGTTGACACCCTGGGCCCAAGAAGACATTTGTCCAAATTCCCTTGGCCCTGTATGGCTAGGGGCAGTGATACCTGGACCCTGGCCAGAGAAGCCCACTCTCCCGAGACACCAGCTCTGCTGACAGGTTGGCCGGCCCTTCTGCCGGGGGGTCGGAGAAGCTCAGCCTGAGGGGTGGCCGGCCAGTCCCCACTCTTGGGCCTCACTGTACAGGCCTCAGCGCTGGGAGAACCCTGAGTGGATGCAGCAGGTACGCTCCCTGCACAGCCAGCAGCTGGCAGGTGGGGTTTCTGGGACCAGATGCTTTAACCAGCCAGTTTTCAAAGAACCTCAAGATATACTAAAGGCAGCCTGGCCGGCATGGCTCAGTGGTTGAGCACTGACCAATGAACCAGGTCACAGTTTGATTCCTGGTCAGGCCACAGGCCTGGGTTGTGGGCTTGATCCCCAGTGTGGGGCATGCAGGAAGCAGCCGATCCATGATTCTCTCTCATCATTGATGTTTCTATCTCTCCTTCCATCCTCTCTGAAATCAATAAAAATATATTTTAAAAATTAAAAAAGAAAAAGGTATGCTAAGGGCAGACCTAGCCGTTTTGGTTCAGTGGATAGAGCATCGGCCTGCAGACCGAAGGGTCCCGGATACGATTCTAGTCAAGGGCTCGTACCTAGTTGCAGCCTTGATCCCTTGATCCCTGGCCCTGGGGCTCATGCGGGAGTCAAGCAATTAATGTCTCTCTCTCACATCGATGTTTCTCTTTCTCTGTCCTCCCTTCCACTCTCTCTAAAAATCAATGGAAAATTTGATCCTTGGGTGAGGATGAACAAAAAAGAAAAAAAAATATATATATATATACTAAGGGCAAGCAAAGACTTGAAGTTCCAGTCCCTCTAATTGCTAGGCCCTGCCCAGCCCACCAGCCTCAGGGCTTCCTCCGTGTCCATGCCGAGCTGTTGTAGGTGTAGCACGTCCCTCACTCTCTTGCCTCCCAAATGGGCTGCAGGAGCAGCCTACCCCCTCGATCCCATGTCCCCTCTCCTGGAACACACCTGAATCCTGCACCCTGACAGAACCAGAACATCTTAACTCCTTCCCACAGAGTCTCCAGTCTCAGCTCTACTCCACCTATTGGCCTTGGCAACACACCCCCCAACTGCTCCCCTGGTCATCTCTGCACTGTGTCCACCCTGAGGGCAGGCAGGCATGGAGCTCAACCTTGCCCCCTCTCCCTTGATGCACCTGGATAACCTTTGGCACTGACTCTACCCATGTGGTTTGCTGCTCCCCTGAACTAGGTGTTCCTGGGGCATGTTGGTCATGTGTCCAGAAAGTAATAACCTCCCACATCTGCCCTGCCCACCCTCAGAAGCCCTGGCTCCCTGCCTTGCTGACCACAGCCCCACCTCACATGACGACCAAAATAAGCTCCAGAGTGAAATAGGGGTGCTCTCCGCCATCCTGATGTCCAGCCACTGCTTCCCTCAACACCCTTTCTGTGCCAGGCACAGGGCCAGTCGGGTTATCCAGTCCTCATGCCCTTGCAGCTCTGGCAACGAGCACCCCCAGCTGCCCTCTAGGCACTCACAGCTCCCACGCCCCTGGAATCATTCAACAAATGTGTCTGACTTACAGCACAGCAAACCCGTCCCCACGGGCCTCCTCAAGCATCCGCTCATCTTGGGACCAGCCTCAGGCTTGGCAGGCAGACGCGGGGACGAAGCCAGCGTGGGCTGGGCAGACCCTGCTCCTGTCAGAGTGGCTCTGATAAGACGGTGCTATGGGCTCTGTCTTTCGAGCACAGACCACCCAGAAAGCACAGCCACCTGCTCCCAAAGCACAGAGGCCCCCCGGACAGGCCCCATGAGCTGAGTGGGTTCTGGGAGCCTAGTCCAGCATCTCCCCCCGTGGCGCTGACATTGGGGCGAACGGTTTTTTTGTGATGGGGGGGTCTCCTGTGCACTGTGACCTGTTCAGCACCAACCCACCAGCCGTAATGACCAAAAATGCCTGCAGACAACGCCTCATGTTCCTCCAGGGCGGCAGAATCATCCTCGGTTGAGAACCGATTCAGGCCCCATAACTGGCTGCCTGGCCAGGCTCCTGCCAGAGCCCTGCTCAACTCAAATAGATTTCACCCCCCTTTTCCCACGACCAGCCCCTCCCGAGTCTACCCTGGCCTGTTGGTGACATGTCTGAGCTCTGGAGCCAGCGGTGGCCTCATGGAACCTGTGTGTTGTGTGTTCGGGTTAAGCCATGACCTCTATTTCATGGGGGTTCCCAGCCTCTCTGACCACCCTGTGACCACGGCCAGAGCTCTTGAACCCTGACCTAGCCCAGCAATGGCACCTCCTTGCTCAAACACCTGCCCCACCCTGGTCTTCCCGGGGTCTTCCAGCTGCCAGCTGAGGGGGCTGTGTCCAGGCCTCCCGCTCCAGCCCCAGCACTGCTCACCTTGGCTGGAGACATTCATGCAGAAGTACATGCCATAGATGAAGTACACATACAGGGTCCCCGGCTTCATGAACATGCCGCGGTTGCGGGGGGTCTGCCGGCCGCCCCTCGAGTGGGCAGCTTCATCCTCGGGCCCCAAATATGCCTCAGTCTCAACAATGCGGCCACGGAGCTCTGTGCCATCGTCGAGTCGCCGGACCAAGACCTGTGGGCACCAGTGTCGGCTCAGGACACGAAGGGTGGTTCCCTCCACCTGACAGTCCACAGCCTGGACCGCACCTCCCTAGCTCTGGGCACACCAGGGCCAGCCAGTTTCCCTCCAATGTCCCTCTGTCTTGGCGGACCTCTGGACAACAGACCTTGTTCACTGGGTGTCTGGTCCATAGGTTGCAGCCATTTCAAGCTCTGGCCTTGGCCGGGCTGCAGACCAGCACTAGTGACTTCACCCACCCCATGTCCTCTCAGGCCCCCCATCACACCGCCGCCTCCTCCCCGGGTCCCCCTGAACTTACATGCTTAGGCTGGGGCAGGGCAGCAGGGAGGACACCCCAGTGTTGCCCCACCATGGCTGCCTGTGGACTAAACACCAAGTACTGTCACGCTCAGCTCCTGCCACCAGCTGCCCGCCATGCTCCTGGCTGAACCATGGCCTGGGTGTAGCCAGCTCCACAAGGAGTGGGGTCAGTGTGGGCAGTGGGCCAGGAAGATGAGCCTGGCTGCAGTTGGCTTGGACAGTGCCCTGGGCAGGGGTGGGGCCAGGAGGGGCCAGAGGGGCTAGCCGAGGACAGGGGCAGTTGCCAGGGATTCTCACGGGAGGGGGACAGGTGGGGGGGCAGTGGGTGCTCTCAGGCCAGCGGAGCACCTAGGAGGGCCGCCCAGGGGAGCCAGACCTGTGGAGTGCTGAGCATGCGCAGTCCATGCTCCCCAGCTGGGGCCCTTCTGCCCTATGGAGGGGACTGTTTGGGCTGCACAGCACAGTGTGGCCCAGTGTCCAAAGGTACAGGCCTGACTCAACGAGGGCTCACAGTGGGGCTTTGGGGGCAACACCGGCCTTGTTCTTGGGCCAGAGCAGTCAGTTGGACAGCCAGGCCACCCCTGCCTTAGCCCAGGGAGCCCAGTGTGTGTGCGGCCGGGATCCGTGTCATGGGACAGGGAGGCGAGCGCTGGGGTAGTGTTGGAGGAGGCCTTCCTGAGACAGAGGAGGAAGAAGGGGGTCGATGCCTCCCCTGGGAGCCCATCTCCAGGACGAAGAGGAAGTCCCATTCCATCTCAGATGAGGCCTCACTTCCATCCTCCCAGGGCATCAAGAGCATGTTCCTCCATGAGCCTCGCTCCCGTTTCCACACCTCCAGAGGCCAGCGGGGTGCCTGCCCTTGGGAGGGGAGCGTCTCATGGCTCTTTTCTCACTGTGGTTTTTTAATTTGGATTTTCCGCTCTGAATTTCGTTCTGATAACACTTCCAGATAGTAGATGTTGGTTGCCTCCCATGCCCATTACAAACACATCTCCTTGCTGGTGGAGGCAACACCTTCTCAGACCAGAGGGCGACTTGAGGGTGGTCTGGGTGTCATGGCAACTCATTGCTCCTTGCAGTGACCTGTAGAGGGGTGACCTGAGCCTGGCCTAGTGGTCTGCAAGGAC